GGATTGAAAAATAAACTTGAGAAGAATTTCAAGTGTTTGGATGAATTTTATGAAGAACTCATTGAGCAACATCACAATCCCAATAGGCCAAAATCCATGGAAGGAGATATTATTGATCTTTTGCTACAATTGAGGAAAGAGCGATCAACTCAAATCAATCTCACTTTGGATAACATAAAGGCAATCCTCATGGTAATTAATTATGCTTAAATGTATGCAGAATTTTAAATAAGACACACGTCTCTCATCTCTGTTATTTTTCTATTAACTTAAATATTTTTGTAGAATTTATTTCTTGCTGGGACAGACACTAGCGCAATTACAGTAATTTGGGCCATGACTGCCTTGATGAAGAACCCCAAAGCCATGAAGAAAGTTCAAGAAGAAGTTAGAAAATCAGTGGGGGGAAAAGGCATTGTAAGTGAAGATGATACTCAAAATATGCCTTATCTCAAAGCAGTAATAAAAGAGACATTTAGATTGTATCCACCAGCTCCAATCCTAGTGGCAAGAGAGACAATGCAAAATTCAATACTAGAAGGGTATAATATTCCACCAAAAACAACAATTCGTGTAAACTATTGGGCTATTGCAAGAGATTCTGAGTACTGGGAAAATTCAGAAGAATTTATACCCGAGAGATTCTTGAATAGTAACATTGATTTCAAGGGTCAAGATTTTGAATTTATCCCATTTGGAGCAGGGCGGAGAGGTTGCCCAGGTATTCAATGTCGAATATATACATAATTCATATAATTATAAGTTCAATTGAACCCACAATTTTTATATAGAATTTTCACGTAAACTATACATGAAAAATATAAAAAGTACTAGTAGAAATATAGTTATGATCATATTAATTTTGAACCATATATTTTGAAGAAAACAAAACTCAAAATTTTGAATTTGTTTCTCTACAGGTCAAGCACTTGGTGTTGCAACAGTGGATCTTATACTATCAAACCTTCTATATGCATTTGATTGGGAATTGCCTTTTGGGATGAACATAGAAGATATTGACACAGAGAGTTTACGCGGAATTACTATGCATAAGAAAAATGATCTTTGCCTTGTCCTTAAAAATTATATGTAGACTATTTTAGTGATATGCGGAATAGAACGTAGAATAAAAATATGAATATTAGGAAGAGTGTTTCCCCCTTTCCAATTCGTAGTAATGTAATTGCCTTTTTTGAGATGAATATAATAAAGCTTATATTTTATTTTTTTTAAATTATGTTCTGAACAATATTTGCTATTGATGAGTAGTTTGGCCTATTTATGTTTAATAAGCACTCAAAAGGGTACAAACTAAAAATCTACTTATTATAGTTTCACGACAAAAATAAATCAAGGAAACTTCTTCTTCTTCTTTTATTATTGCTAATAAGGATATTCATATAATGTATTGTATTGTATTATTTTTGGACCAAAACAAAGATATTATTATATATTGGAAGAATTCTAGCTGTTCTTTTTAATTATAATTACGCCATATTAAACAACACTCTCTACCTTCTAAGTGCATAATTAGTGCTCCTTATAAAAGGGATAACTTTGAGTCTAAAGTCAACGATAAGGAAAATTTTATTGAAACAACTACTACATTACAAGTTTATATTACAAGCTCCTTCTACATTACAACTACTACATTACAAGTTTATATTACAAGCTCCTTCTACATTACAACTACTACATTACAAGTTTATATTACAAGCTCCTTCTACATTACAACTACTACATTACAAGTTTATATTACAAGCTCCTTCTACATTACAACTACTACATTACAAGTTTATATTACAAGCTCCTTCTACATTACAACTACTACATTACAAGTTTATATTACAAGCTCCTTCTACATTACAACTACTACATTACAAGTTTATATTACAAGCTCCTTCTACATTACAACTACTACATTACAAGTTTATATTACAAGCTCCTTCTACATTACAACTACTACATTACAAGTTTATATTACAAGCTCCTTCTACATTACAACTACTACATTACAAGTTTATATTACAAGCTCCTTCTACATTACAACTACTACATTACAAGTTTATATTACAAGCTCCTTCTACATTACAACTACTACATTACAAGTTTATATTACAAGCTCCTTCTACATTACAACTACTACATTACAAGTTTATATTACAAGCTCCTTCTACATTACAACTACTACATTACAAGTTTATATTACAACCACTACATTACAAGTTTATATTACAAGCTCCTTCTTGTGCTCTACTTTGCTTTGCTAATTTACAAGGTAAGGATTGATGTCAAATTCCCCATTACTCCAAGATGGATTTACTTTTTTTTTAGGAAACAAAAAGGGCAGACATAAAACCATACGACCTTATATTAAAACGGATGACAAACAAAAGCATACATTATTAATTAATTTAAATGTTGGAGTTCGGTATTGTTTAATTTCTAGTGATAATTTCTAGGAACAAGGCACAAAGGTTCTTTCTTATGCACAGCAAGTCCAAGCAAAACATCAGTATCAATGTCTTCTATGTTCATTCCAGGAGGCAACTCCCAATCAAAAGCGTAAAGAAGATTGGAAAGTACAAAGTTCCACAGTTGTCACACCAAGTGCCATAGCCGGGCACCCTCTTCTTCCTGCTCCAAATGGAATTAACTCAAAATTTTGGCCCTTAAAATCAATATCACTATTCAGGAACCTTTCCGGTATAAATTCTTCTGGATTTTCCCATATTTCAGGATCCCTTGCAATAGCCACAAAATTAACATGAACTATCGTTTTTGGTTGAATTTCATATCCTTCTAGTATGGAATTTTGCATCGTCTCTCTTGGTACTAACAATGGACCTGGTGGATACAATCTAAATGTCTCCTTTATCACTGCTTTAAAATATGGAAGATCTTGGATATCATCTTCATTCACTATAAACTTTTTCCCAACCGATTCTCTAATTTCTGCTTGAACTTTCTTCATGGCATTCGGTTTGGCTATCAAGGCTGTCATTGCCCAAACTACTGTAGCTGCACTAGTGTCCGTTCCACCAACTAGCATATTCTACAAGTGAGAATGGAGGATAAAACTATAAGAAACATTTCATATATCAACTGAAGTGTTTTCCTAATCATGAAAGGTTATGTGTAATATTACAAGTTTAAAAGGCATTTCTTAATATTTGACCAAAAACTTTCTATATATCATGATTGCACCACCAATATGACCATGGAATAAAAACACTTAGTTGTATGACAGAGTACTAATACCTAGTCAATAAATATAAATACATACACAAGACTTGCTTATATACAATTTTTAACATCTAACCCTGATTAATTTATAAAATTTTCACTTCAACTTGTTAATTCATTTCTAAGGTTAACTATTTAGTTGGGTGTAAGCAGTCGATGAGAGCAAGTAAAATAGACACAAATAGAGTAGTTCATTACCATAATAAGAGCCTTTATGTTGTCTAAGGTAAGATCGATTGGAGTTGATTTCTCTTTCTTCAATTGGAGCAAAAGATCAATAATACCCCCTTCCATGGATTTTGGCCTATTGGGATTGAGATGTTGCTCAATGAGTCCTTCATAAAACTCATCCAAATCCTTAAAATTCTTTTCAAGTTTATTTATTTTTTCGGAGAGTTTATCAATCCATCCTAAGAGAGGAAAATAATCAGAGACAAAAAACCCAGCCAACATTTCTTCAGTCACTTTTAAAAGTTCACCAAATTTCCTCCCTTCGCGTGTTTGTTCACCATACCTAATACCAAAAGCAATTCTACAAATAATTGTAGTTGCAAGTGAAATCACTATATTGCTCAAATTTGTAATTTGTGAAGTGTGAGCCTTTAAAAATATTTTTTTGATCATTCTTGCTCCTTCATCTTCACGAATTGGACGATAATATTGCACTTTCTTGAGACTAAATAAATGAACAACACATATTTTTCGAAGTTCTCTCCAATAGTCATTGTAAGGTGACACGCCAATATCTTGACCATTGTAAGACAATTTTTGCTGGCCAAGAATTGAAGGTCTACTACAAAAGGCTAAATCTTGTATGTGTGTTACCTCTTTTGCTAGATTTGCTGAAGAAACTACAATCATAGTAGAAGAACCAAGTTTTAAAGAGAATATTTTTCCATATTTCTTAGAAAGTTTCCAAAAGTAGAGATGAGGGGTTAAACCATCAAATTGATGCAAATTTCCAATGAATGGCAACCCTAAAGGGCCTGGTGGTAGAATGTTTTTTCCATTCCTTTTGGCTTTAGGAAGAAGGAAACTGAGAATAATGATGATAAGAAGGGCTACAAAGAGTGGAAACAACATCATGTGTTTTGTTTGGAAAAGTCACTCGAAATGTCTTCTATATCTTGTAATAAGATTTTCTACAATTACTTCCATTTATAGTACTTTTTTTGTATTAATTTGTTTGGCTTGATTCGTAGTACGAAGTCAAACTAACTAATGTTTAGTGTGAATTCGAACATAAAATCATGATTGTAATGAAAGTGATAAAGGAAAATTCACAGTCCACAATATTTTATTTTATTTTTAATGCCTTGTCATTACCATTAATGTGGATTGTGGACTCTTGTAATCCACAGTCCACAATATTAAAGCGTGAAAAATGACCTTTGTCCAAATATTTGTCTCACCAATGATTTCAGAACATTAGACAAAGGCAATTTGATAACGTAATAAACTCAGAAATGTCAAAGCTTTAGTTTGTGTCCAAAATTGGGATTCATTCATTGTCAAGAAAAAGGAATTCAAAATTAAATTTTGCATCAGAATAGGATTATAACCAACGCACTTAATTCCTAGAGAATTAGTAAATTAGCTACCAAATTTTTGCGACATCCTTTGGAACTAGAAGGGAGATTTTATTCAAACAACTACTCCATTACAAGTTTATAACGAAAAATGACAGACATAAAACCATACAACCATATTATTAAACATGGATAACTAATTTAAACACTAGAGTTTGGTCTTGTTTAATTTCTAGGAACAAGGCACAAAGGTTCTTTCTTATGCATTGCAAGTCCAGGCAAAACATCAGTGTCAATGTCTTCTTTTTTCATTCCACAAGGCAACTCCCAATCAAAAGCGTAAAGAAGATTGGAAAGTACAAGTTCCACAGTTGCCACACCGAGTGCCATAGCCGGGCACCCTCTTCTGCCTGATCCAAATGGAATCAGCTCAAAATTTTGGCCCTTAAAATCAATATCACTATTCAGAAACCTCTCCGGTATAAATTCTTCTGGATTTTCCCATATTTCAGGATCCCTTGCAATAGCCCAAACATTAACATGAATTATGTTTTGGTTAATTTCATATCCTTCTAGTATGGAATTTTGCATCGTCTCTCTTGCTATTAACAATGGACCTGGTGGAAACAATCTAAATGTTTCTTTTATCACTGCTTTAAAATATGGAAGATTTTGGATGTCTTCTTCATTCACTATGGACTTTTTACCAACTATTTCTCGAATTTCAGCTTGAACTTTCTTCATGGCATTTGGTTTAGCTATCAAGGCTGTCATTGCCCAAACTACTGCAGCTGCGCTCGTGTCCGTTCCACCGACTAGCATATTCTACTTGAGCAAATGTGAGGATAAAATTAAATGCAACAATTCATATCAATTGAAATTTTTTCCTAATCAGAAACAGTTATTGTAACGGCCAGCGCGCTAGTGATATTATATTGTCCATTTTGGACCTAGATCCGCACGACTTTAAAACGCGTCACTGTTTGGCAAGGTCTGATTACTTATATACCCAACATCACTCAAGTGTTTTGCCGATGTGAGACTTCTTATCTTAAGGTGGGGTGTTACAGTCATAACATGTGTAATATCACAAGTTTAAAAGGCACTTCTTAATATTTGATAAAAAAGTTTCTTTATATTATGATCGTGTCACAAACATGACCAAGGAAAAAACTTAGTTGTATGAAAGAGTGTTAATACCAAGTCAATAAATATAACAATACAAAAGACTTGCTTATATACAATTTTAAACATCTAATTAACCAATGATTAATTGATATGAATTTTCACTTCAATTTGTTAATTCATCTGTAAGGTTAACTGTTTAGCTAGGTGTAAGCCGTCAGCTAGAGCAAATATAAAAAATAGACAAATAGAGTAGTGCATTAGTCATTACCATGATAATAGCCTTTATGTTTTCCAAAGTAAGATCAATTGGAGTTGATTTCTCTTTCTTCAATTGGAGCAAAAGATCGATAATATCTCCTTCCATGGATTTTGGCCTATTGGGATTGAGATGTTGCTCAATGAGTCCTTCATAAAACTCATCCAAATACTTAAAATTCTTCTCAAGTTTATTTATTTTTCCGGAGAGTTTATCAATCCATCCTAAGAGAGGGAAATAATCAGAGACAAAAAAGCCTGCCAACATTTCTTGAGTCACTTTTAAAAGCTCGCCAAATTTCCTCCCTTCGCGTGTTTCTTCATCATACCTAATACCAAAAGCAATTCTACAAATAATTGTAGTTGCAAGTGAGATCACTATATTGCTCAAATTTGTAATTTGTGAAGTGGAGGCTTGCTGAGATATTTTCTTGATCATTCTTGATACTTCATCTTCACGAATTGGACTAAAATATTGTACTTTATTGAGACTAAATAAATGAACAACACATATTTTTCTGATTTCTTTCCAATAGTCATTGTAAGGCGACATAGCGATATCTTGACCATTGTAAGACAATTTTTGCTGGCCAAGAAGTGAAGGTCGACTACAAAAAGCTAAATCTTGTGTCTTCGTTACTTCTTCTGCTAGATTTGCTGAAGAAACTACAATCATAGTAGTAGAACCAAGTTTCAATGAGAAAATGTTTCCATATTTTTTGGAAAGTTTCCAAAAATATAGATGAGGGGTTAAACCATCAAATTGATGCAAATTTCCAATGAATGGCAGCCCTAAAGGGCCTGGTGGTAGAATGTTTTTTCCATTCTTTTTGGCTTTAGGAAAAATAAAACTGAGAATGATGATGATAAGAAGGGTTACAAAGAGTGGAAAGAACATCATGTGTTTTTTTTTTTGAAAAAGTCACTTGTATTCTATATCTTGTATTAAGATTTTCTACGATTTCTTTTATTTATAGTACTCCTTCTGTTTTAATTTGTTTGACTTGATCTCGCAGTACGAGATCAAACAAACTACATGTTCTGTTTGAATTCGAACATAGAATGTTTATTTTATTTTTTAAAAATTACATAAAAATATTATAAATCACAATATTTAAAAAGCATTTGAAGAAAAATATATTACACAAAACAATACATTATTTAACTATTCAAATAGTATAACAAAGGAAGTAGCAGTAACGAAGCTGGGACTTTGGATCGAGGGCTGTGATAATATTTATGAAAATAGATATTTAAAAAAATATGTAAATAGAAAGAAATTTGTCATTTAAAGTTGGAAAAAATGACATTGCATTTATAAGCTAAGTGATAGACTATACTTTTCACGATTCTTTAATATTCATGAAAGTGACACAGGAAAATTATCTAGATATTTATCTCACCAATGATTTCATAGCATTAATTAAACAAAGGTAATTTGATAACGTAATAAATAATTGATATTGTTTCCTATTAGAATTAGGGGAAGGAATTGATAAACTCAAAACTATCAAAGCTTTAGTTTGGGTCCAAAATTTTGGATTAATACATGGTCAAGGAAAAGAAATTCTAAATTAAATAATGAAGAAGGGGTAAAGGTTATAGTATATTGGAATCTCACATCGATCTGAATGGTGGAGGAAACTAAGAAACTTTATAAAGAATAACATAAGTTCATATGATATATACAGTTTTTGAGCTCAGTGATATTGGCATAGCCAAGGAAGAAATATATGAGTTTTATTGGGAAATGTAGATAATACATGTTTTTCAATTGGGCTATGAAAAATATGATATTAATAGAACATTCCCTATGAATGATATTACCTTAGTTAGGTAGTAGGACAAACCTCACCTAGAACTTTCTGAAGGAGTATAGTCGTAAGGCGTGTTTGGCCAAAACAAACAATATATGTCGCGTGTGCTTGAGCTGTGACAATAAAGGCAATAATGTTCTCCATAGGTATTGCACTTGGTGTTGCAACAGTACTAGAGCTTATTAACTTTTGTGATAAAGATAACAGACATTCTACTTGGAATTATTACGCATAGGAAAAATGCTCTTCTTTTCATTTTTCCGCGATATCTTTTGGAACTAGAAGAGAGATTTTATTGATAACTAAAACCATACGACCATATTAAACATGGATAACTAACAAAGTTATACATACATATTTAACTAATTTAAACACTGGAGTTTGGTCTTGTTCAATTTCTAGTGATAATTTCTAGGAACAAGGCACAACGGTTTTTTCTTATGTGGTATGATTCCAGGCAAAACATCAGTGTCAATGTCTTTTATTTTCATCCCACGAGGCAACTCCCAATCAAAAGCGTAAAGAAGATTGGAAAGTACAAGTTCCACATTTGCCACACCAAGTGCTATACCTGGGCACCCTCTTCTACCTGCTCCAAATGGAATCAACTCAAAATCTTGGCCCTTAAAATCAATATCATTATTTAAGAACCTCTCAGGTATAAATTCTTCTGGATTTTTCCATATTTCAGGATCCCTTCCAATTGCCCAAGCATTAACATAAACTATAGTTTTTGGTTTAATTTCATATCCTTCTAGTATGGAATTTTGCATCGTCTCTCTTGCTACTAACAATGGAACTGCTGGATACAATCTAAATGTCTCTTTTATCACTGCTTTAAAATATGGAAGATTTTGGACGTTATCTTCATTCACTATGGACTTTTCCCCAACCGATTCTCTAATTTCTGCTTGAACTTTGTTCATGGAATTTGGATTTGCCATCAAGGCTGTCATTGCCCAAATTATTGTAGCTGCGCTAGTGTCCGTTCCAGCAACTAGCATATTCTACGAGAGAAAATGGGAGGATAAAAACATAGCCACCAACTATATCTTCATGTATTCAAAAACTTTGTATTTCTCATTTTATTTATATTAAAATATTTTTCAAATCAAATAATCATAAAATGTTATGACATGTGTAATGCCACAAATTTAAAGGCATTTTTTAATATTTGATAAAAATCTTTCTTTGTATTAAAATCATGCCACAAACATAACCATGGAAAAAACTTAGCCACATGAAACAATATTAACACCAAGCCAATGAAAGGTTAACTGTTTAGCTAGGTGTAAGCAGTCGATGTAAGCAAGTATATATATAATTTTATCAGTACCGTCATATAAAATAGATACAAATGAAGTAGTTCGTTACCATGATTATACCCTTTATGTTGTCCAATGTAAGATCAATTGGAGTTGATTTCTCTTTCTTCAATTGTAGCAAAAGATCAATAATATCTCCTTCCATGGATTTTGGCCTATTGGTACTGAGATGTTGCTCAATGAGTCCTTCATAAAACTCATCCAAATCCTTAAAATTCTTCTCAAGTTTATTTATTTTTCCAGAGAGTTTATCAATCCATCCTAAGAGAGGAAAATAATCAGAGACAAAAAAGCCTGCCAACATTTCTTCAGTCACTTTTAAAAGTTCATTAAAATTCCTCCTTTCGTGTGTTTCTTCATCATACCTAATACCAAAAGCAACTCTACAAATAATTGTAGTCGTTAGTGAAATCAATATACTACTCAAATTGGTGATTCGGGAAGTTACAGCTTGTTGAGATATTTCTTTGATCATTCTTGATACTTCATCTTCACGAATTGGAATAAAAGATTGTACTTTTTTTAGACTAAATAAATGACCAACACATATTTTTCGAAGCTCTTTCCAGTGGTCATTGTAAGGTGAAGTGGCAATATCTTGATTATTGTAAGACAATTTTTGCTGGCCCAAAATAGAAGGTCTACTGCAAAATGCTAAATCTTGTGTTTTCATTACTTCTTTTGCTAATTTTGCCGAAGAAACTACAATTACTGGAGTAGAACCAAGTTTCAATAAGAATATTTTTCCATATTTCTTGGAAAGTTTCCAAAAATAGATATGAGGGGTTAAACCATCAAACTGATGCAAATTTCCAATGAATGGTAACCTTAAAGGACCTGGTGGCAGGATGTTTTTTTCATTCTTTTTTACTTTTAAAGAAGAAAACTGAGAATAATAATGATAACAAGGGCTACAAAGAATGGAAAGAACATATTGTGTTTTTTTTTGGCAATATTAAAATTTTGTACTGCAAAGTCACTTGATGTCTTGTATTAAAATTTTCTGTTGTTTCTTTCATTTATACTAACAAGTAAGGGCTTGTTTGGCACGAAGGATAATAATTTTTCATGGAAAATACTATACTTCTCATATTTTGTCTTCTTGTATTATTTCATTATTATTATTGAGGTGGATACAAATAAGAGTTATGAATTATTTTTTTAATAATCTCAAATTAATTAATTCACGTAAATTCGTAAATGACACTCTACTATATATATAGCAAGATCCTGTAATGACCCTAAAGGTCATTTTTGGAAATTTT